TAACCCCCCCAACCCCAAAAAGTTCTAGTGCACCCAAAAGGCATTTGGAAAATGATCAGGAATACAAAGTTTGCACGCAGATGGCATCAGTGGCAATTTTATGTATATACAGAATCATACACAAAATAGAAATTCATAAAATATTTATTTTAAAATTAAATATATGAAATTTTCAACCTAATAACTATATATATATAAAGTTAAGCAGGTTACGACATCAATTGTTACATAATGTATGTAAATTAATGATCACACACTCCAACAAAATTTTCACATCGGTGGGGGGCGGTGGGGTTTTTATTTTGGGAGTGGGGAGGACAAAGACAAGGTTCCTCGAGTTATTGAGGGGGAGGTGTCAAGTCGGCTGCGATTAGTGTGCCGCCAGCCGCTAAAATAAGACAAGCATTGAAAGGTGATACGACACAACACGCAAGTAACACGCTCACGCAAAGTAAAGCTTTGGGCACGTTAGCTTAGCATGTTGCTAATTTTAACAAGCAATTTGATGTTGACAAACACAATTTAAATGCTTGAGTCGTCATATAGTTTTGTTTTACAGAACACCTTCGGATTCCAGCAGTGCCTATAATGGCCACGAGGGGGCAGTATCACTTTGCAAAGAACTCTTTCCTCTTCCTGCTCCAGTACGAAGCTGTCTTCAAAGGGTGAGTAGTTTCACTTTTTGTTTCCTTTTTCCTCCCAGCACACTTAAGTGGAACCTAATACATGTTTATTATGGATACAGTTTGACTCAGTATTCGATCATTTGTATTTTCTGACAAGCGCCTTCAGAGGTGTAATAGTTTTATATCATAGCATTAATTTTTATTTTTTTTAATGACAGTTAATCATGCGACCGAAAACAAACATTTTATGATGGGCAGGTTATTCTTATTTCCAGTCAGGCATCATCAAAGGCAGAGTAGTATTGAGAAGTTTTTTTTGTTTTTTTTTTTTAACTGCATTGCACATATATTTTTTTTTTATATGACTTAAAACATAGCCCATCTATTTTATAGTTTTTGATGGTCACAGTTTGACCCAGCGACAGACAAATACAGGCTCTGATGTTAGTGTTTGTCATGTTTATTCCATTTTAAGCAGCGATTTAATATTAAAAACATGAAGGGCTCAATCAACACTTATGGATCACAAAAATGCTGCGAAAAAACAAGCTGAAAGTGAGTAAATAAGCAACACAGTGTGAAAAACATCACAAACTCACTAGATGTCAGTGTAGCGACTTGGTCAAAAAACAAGAAAAACACAGCTTCAACAAAACAAACATCACGGCGGAGTTAATAAATTAAAAAAAAAATCTAAAGTCACATTACACTCAAGTCTTTTTCCTGTTCTTTTGTTTCTAGCTTCTATCTTTTAAACTAACTTTGAGCAAAATTAAAACACAGCTGGAGCTTTCCTTGTACAAAACAGGCGTTCAAATACTTTGGATCCCAACAGAAAGACCCTTAAACTTTTAGACAGTATTGGGACCTTTGTTCTTGCAAGGAAAACGAGTGGCCCTCAAACGCTTCCCTGAGGAACACCACTCTGTTGTTCTTTTGGGGCATTTGCATATACAAGACAATATCCATTTTTTGGGGTCCTTTGTGCCTTTTTGTAAACAAATGTAGTTTTTCCATGGCAAGACGTTATGGACCTGATGGATCAACCTGTTGCATTTAGTGCACACATCTTGGACTTTTGTGAAAAGCAAAGAATACTTTGTAGAAAATAATGGAGTGTCTTAATTGTGAAATGTTGCATTTTATTTGGACAAATATGTCCTTTTTGTGACAATGCATAGTTTTTGAGGCAACCTTTTGTGGTGAACCCTTGCATATTTGTGGACAAACATTGCACTATACTTTAAAAAAAAAAAAAATACTGCAAAATTTGTTTCCTGGTCTGATTTTCGTGATTTTGGAAGCATACGGCATTTTCATGGGAAACTACCATTTCCCATGACAAATATCTCCTTTGTGTGAACATAGATTGCTTTTCTGCGTCGATACCAGACATAGGCTCACGCTCGGTAGAGACATGGCGTTCCGGTGTCGTGTTGGGTTCCGGCGCTCTCATTCAGCACACGGTCTTGCGCATGGAGGAGTCTGAGGAAGGTGCGGAGAGCAGCAGCTCGTTCTTCTTGTTCTGCAAGGCGGTGCCGTCCCGCGCGACGGTCTCCTTGTGGTTGTACGACAATCTCCTGTTTCGACGGCGGCCGGTGCAGCGCATGAGCGCCTTGCACACGAGGTAGCCCAACTCGGCCACGTTGAGCACCATGCAGATGGTGGAGGAGGCCACCATGAAGATGGTGAAGATGGTCTTCTCGGTGGGTCGCGAGATGAAGCAGTCCACCTTGTTGGGGCAGGGCCACTGCTCGCACTTGACCAGCCGCGGCATCCGGAAGCCGTCGTAGACGAAGTAGAGCGCGTACATGAAGCCGCCCTCGAAGATGAGCCGGAAGAAGAGGCTGCACGTGTACGTCCACCAAAGCGTGCCGGTGATGGGAAGCCGCCGTCGTTTGAGCGTCTCCATGTCCACGTCGCTGGGCTTCTCGGTGCCGTTGGACGCCAGCATGGAGCGCTTGTCGCCGCGCTTGCGGTAGGCCACGTGCATGGCCACCAGCAGGGCCGGCGTGGACACGAAGATGAGCTGGAGGCACCACAAGCGGATGTGCGACACGGGGAAGAAGTGGTCGTAGCACACGTTCTTGCAGCCGGGCTGCTGCGTGTTGCACGTGAAGTCGGACTGCTCGTCGCCCCACACGCTTTCGGCCGCCAGCACCAGGATGGTGATGCGGAAGATGAACAGCACCGACAGCCAGATCTTGCCCAGGCTGGTCGAGTGCTTGTTGACGCCGCCCAGCTGGGCGTAAAGGGCGCCCCATGACATGATGGCCTGCGGGGGCGGCAAAGGAGCTTTGAAAAAACAACCAACATTAAAGTCACACAGCGCCAGGATATTTTGAAATTTGAGGCCAGTTTCACTTTAGAAAATGAAACTTGGTCGGCTTGTCCGTCATGAGAAGACCCGCCAAAAATTCCCCAAAATGCACAGGAAAACTTCCAGTTTGGTTTGAACCAGACCTTTTAGGCCCATAGTCTACGTCGACCGGTCTGCGCTGGTGCGGTTGGATGTGGAGGCGAGGATGAGAGAGGAGCGTTGGCGCTGAGCGCGGATACGTATTTGGAATTGAGAGTCGCCGCTTAGATTTGAAACGGATTTACGCGGGACAGGAGAAATGAACCAATCCCTTTTTTTTTTACAACTTGTTTGCTTTCAAACTTAGCTTAGAGCAGATGCGTGCACATTTTGAGCATAACTATTTTCACGTACGCTTCACCATTACTTATAGTATGGAACCTAAAAACACAAACATAAGGTATCTGCGTTGCATATGTGGTGTGTGTGTGTATTTGTATGTAGATGGAAATCTGTTATCTCACCTGTTTGTACGTGAGAGTCCACCCCCAAAAAAAAAAATCAAGTGAGGGTTAATTTTCCATGAAAAAAAAAAATAGTCCTTTGACTTAAAGCATGTGTAAAAAATAAACTGAATTAAAATAAATTTAAAACTCTGCAGGAGCAAACGATAGGAACAAAGCTGAGAGGACAAACTGAGCAAAGACGCATGGAACTTCTCAAACACATCAACTTGCAAAGGGAAGGGGTGGGGCCACACACACACACACACACACACACACACACACACACTAGTGTGTCCAGTAAAGAGCCTGAGAAGATGGGTTTTTCAACCCAGTCTTATACACGGCAGAGTATATTTTTTTATTTTTCCTGATCCAAAATGAATTTTTACAAAAATATTTTGGTTAAAAAAAAACTGTTATGCATGGATGTCATCAATGATCAAAAAACACTTGATGGTCTTTGGAGACTTAGATGTCTTCATCAAAGCGTTCATTGAATACTCTCAGAATCACCTTAACATTAAGGTTATGAATTCTTTTCACCGTTTACCAAAATGAAAGTGTGGCTTGTCAAAGACTAAGACTTCCCATTGTTTTCCAAAATTTGGTTGATTTTTTGTCCAAATTTTAATAGCCTCGGATGTTTCAACCCTAAACACACACATGTAGATTGTCAAAGACTCAAAGATTTTTGATTTTTCTGTTTCCCAAAAACATGTACGTTATTGACAACTAAATTAATGTTCATGAAAACAAGTTCGGTTTGCCCAAATGAAAATTGACTTGAACTCATTCATTCCCAGTACGTTACAGTCAAAGAATCTCAAAGTGTGTAGATGCAACGAATGGATGATGTCATAGCAAATAAGTGCAACACTCATGACGGCGCCTTCCTGGCATTCAGGAAACAATTTTAATCAGTTCGACAAACAGCCACTGCTCCGGCGATGACACACTGTGATGGACACACCCCCTCGTAATCAATTAACCGATCAATTGCAGATGTCCAGTCAATGAAGCACAGTGTGCAATCATTGGACCTTCAAGTAAGAGCTTTAAAATCATATGATCACTACACGGCCGAGCGGTTGCCACGGACACCCCAGATTGCCTACTTTGAGTGGTTTGGACCAGCCATGACGCCGCTCATGTTGTAGTGCTCAAAAAACTGTGCCACACAATGAAATGATCAAAGTTTATTCATGTCACGAATCAAACAGACGTTCCTGACTGTTGTTTGAAGTCCAAGTCATGTTCAGTCGTCCGTTAAGAGTCGTGAAAGTAGGTTTTTTGTGTTTAAAAAAAAAAAAAAAGTGCAGAAAAAGTTATTGCTATCAGTAAAATGGATCCGAGTGGTATGTTGACGTGGTCCCGATGTCTTCAGTGGTCTTTCTTGAGGCGGGCCAGGCCCATAAGGAACCGGTCTCGCCGCTTCCGCCTGGCCGACAGGTGTCGCTCGTCGTTGGGGATCAGCTTGCACATCTCCTGAAACGGAAGGAAAGAAGAAATAAGTTATTTTGTTCATCATAATATCTTCACTTAATCAGGTACCGATAATTTATTCTTGTTTATGCATACAGGTAGCTTTTATGGACACATGATGTCGATAATATTTCAAGTGCATTTATACTAAGTGCAGTGTGAAGAGCTACGATAGAATTTCAGGATAAAAAGCGGGTCCTTGTTGTCTTTGTGGATACGTACGCTAACAACGGTCTCGGCATCTTCAGCAAAGAAGTCTGGGACGGGCCCGAAGGACCTCAGAAGTCTTTGGATGCCTTCGCCGTAACGCTTCATGTAGTCTCCAAGACCTGCGGAAGAACGGCGGATCAGAGGAGGACCACCAACATGGCCGAACACCACGTGAATGCCACACGATGACGAGGTGAGCACATTCGTGTCATTAAATGGTCCCATGGTGTCATAAAATTTTAGACGGCAAATGTTGAGGTATTGTGAGTACTCAAGAGTGAATTGTTTATTGAACAGCCCCAATAAAAACTCACAAATTAGTTTTGAAGAAGACACGATGACTTCATAAAATCTTCTTAAAAACACGTCAGATTTGAGAAACGCAAAACTGTTGAGTTTATGAAGAGTCGTTTGACTCTAAATTGTCCGAAGTATATCGAGACAAATAAAATAGCTGCAGTTGTCTTTTATTGTTGACGAAAACGCAAACGACTGAGAATTGAGCCTCACTTGCACGAAACGACTTTTGCCAGTGTTAAAAGCGAAACTCTTGTGCACGCTTCCTTCTCGTCGCAGATCATCATTGATTGGTGAATTGGGAATTTCTCCATTGCGAGACTAATAAAGGTTTTCTTTAACCATTTCCTCATGACAAAGGCGGCGGACATTTTGCTTTGGCAAATGATTCATGCCGCGCTTCAATAAATCTGTTAACCATTAATACACCAGCAAACTTGGCTGCTTGACATTCATCGACCCGATGCAGAATTTTCCAACGTCTCTCTGAAGAGCAACGGTGAGACGTGACGTCGTAAAGATTCGTCGTTTCTTTTGTTGCTGTTGACTGAGCCATAAAGACGCAACCCTCAAAGACATTTGACCGAGTTCCATCGGAACATTTCGAACGATTCAAATATTTGTCAAACCTTCCAAAAATGAAGTCGAAAAAATGGGACAAGCAACTCGTATATTCGGCAATTTTATTTTTAAAACAACAACAAATAATGTTCACTTGCGATAGGCCAAGGAAGCTTTTGATCTTTTTTAAGTCCCTACACTTGAATTCACCTGAGCGACGGTTAGGTGGGGGCTGCTGTTTTGCTTTTTAATAGCTGTGATTTCAACCAATGAGTTAGCGACTACATTTACTATTTGGGCTCAACAATTTTGAAAAATAATCTAAGTGTGATTTTCTTTTTTTTTTTTTTTTTGGCCCCCTCAATATTGTGATTGCGATTTAAAATGCAATTCTAAGCGAACCGGAAACATAAGTCTTGCATCGGTCAAACAGTGTTCGAAAGGCAGTTTTTAACTTAACGCAAAAATCATAATGTAGAAAAATTATGTATCGTATTACACCAAAATGTGCATAATCACACTTGCTACCCATTTTTTTTCCCCACAGGTGGTATAAGGGAGGCGTCCATTCGAGGGTGGCTAAATTTTCTTGGTGGGTGCTGCTGTTTTGGTGAGCGACCGGCTTACGTCAAAGACCGATAAGCTCCCAGGCACAATCCGCAATCTTGACTTCGCCATCTGATTTGAGCTATTTTAGAAGTTTGACAAGGTTCTCTGCTTCGGACGCCATGTGCGTTTTGGACGACTGGTGTGGGCTGGGGAGGGGTCGGCCATCAAAAGAGGCCTTTGTCGGGCCCCCAACGTGTTCCCGCTCACCGGCCCAGCGACTGTGTGGCTTTCACACCCGCAGGTGACATTCTCCATCTACCTGACGTTTCACTCTGAGCAACGCCGCGTCGCGCATACATAGCATGTCATGTATGCAAGCAGCAGTATGTGAGCTATATGTTTGGTCTGCATTTATTTTTATTATTATTATTACTTAACACTCAGCAGAGAGGTCAGTAGGTACAGCGGCACCAGCACATGGCAGCCAGTGTGCAAGAACTATCAAAACCAAGACGATATCGCTGTCAGGCTGAAGCCAGTTTTACTGGGCAACTTGAATTTTGGTAGGCATGTCTGTCAGATCCACCATAAAAAAAATATATATAATAAGCCATGTCTGAAAAGACTCAAAGTGTCCCATTTTGATTTGAAGTGGTCATTCTGGGCTCATTTTGGCCATTTCCGGGGGTCCTTCAAAGGCAAACTTGTCAGAAGCTGTCCGATTGTTTTTTTTTTTTAACACGTAAACGACACATGGATTTGAATTTGTCATGAAAGCACAAATCGCTGAAAAAGTCAACCCCACCAAAGACTTGACTGGCAGCATTTACCTTCAGGTGCATTGAGGTGGATGGTTTCCATGGGACCAATGAAGGCGTAGCGCATTCCCAGTCCCTCTGACATCACCAGGTCGATGTCCTGGACGGAGATGATGCCGTCCTGAGGACGCAGATGGACAGGTGAGTGTTGCACACAGCACCAATATATGCTAATGTTGGGAAAATATGATGTCAAGGGTAGACAAAGGAGGAATGAGGATCCAGGATGCGAGGCATGAAGGAGAGAGTCAAAGGACTGGAACTTCTTGCCCTGGTCGAGCTGGTGCGCCCAACTTTTTTTTCTTTGGTGTGAGATGCACCCAGATTTCCTACACCGCAGTTTTATAGGTTCGCTTTTTTTTTTCTTTTTTCACAAAATGACTGCGCCGGTGCAACAATCCTCTCATCTATACCTTTGTACTCAGTATCGATGAGAGAGAGAGTGAAACTAGCTGCTGATGAAACCATAAGAAGGACTGACAACTTCTAGAATGTTCAGCGAAGGCCCACTATTTGCAAAATCCTAACCAACACCGAGACAGAGCACTTCAAGGACCAATATTTCCAATAAGTTTTGCGGAATTTATCATAAGAACTTGATCATAACCAGATTGTTAGTTACATGTTCATTTATCCACTTTCATAGTAATTTATATTTACTTCACGCTGTGTCCAGCTCTAATTTTACAAATGTTTTGCAAAAAAGTATATTCTGTTAATATTTTTAAGTGTCAGGAACGGATTCATTGGATTTACATTATTTCCAATGGGAAACCTTGCTTCGGATTTTGGACAAGTCGATTTTAGTCAGACTTTCTGATTAATCCCGAGGAAAATTGAGGTTCCAAAGTACTTTCAACCGATTTGGAGATGGCTGAGCTTTAAGAACAGAGGGCGCGGCGGCGTCCAGTGTGCGCATCAGTTCAGGTGAGGTTGTCACGTAGTAGGAAATCAAAGCTGAAAGCAAATCGGGTCGGCGGGGGGCTTCACAGGCCGCTCTTTGTTCAAGTCTGCCGTTCAACAACGAGCTTGTTATCTTAGCGGAGTGGTCAGGTGGGCGGAACCTTTTCCTCCACAATGATCACGATCTGCTTTCTCAGCCGCTCTGCTTTCCGATGCTGGCCTTGACTCAAGGACCCCTTCTCTCTCTCTGTGTAATTGGAGGGGGG